GGTAACAGTTTGGGGAAGGCCCTTTCCTGTTTCAGCATGACAATGTGCACACGGCAGTAGGCCTACGTGTGAATATTCCAAAATGCAATTTGCAGGAAAACACCTTTCTAAAATGCACACCACACATGCGAGCAGTTTCATGGACAGAGATGGAAATAGCCATTAGACATTTTGAGATCGAAAGATGCAATATGACTAGGAGAATGCCTTTGGCTGCTAGACAATGAAAGAAAGTTGAGAAAAAAAAACAATAGAACAGGAAATCGTTTTTATAAAATAATTGCCTCCACGTTTCTACGGTGGGTTTTGTCTCTAGGCTACTTTAAAGCAAGGTAAGACATGCTTCATAATATGAACGTCCAAGTTTCAAACAATGAAGAAACTGGAAAAATATAGCGATGCTCATGATAGGCCTAACACGTCTTCTGGTAGATGGAAAGGCTTTCCCAATAACCTTCTCTATTAAATGTTAACAAACTACGAAGTAGCCTATGCCTACCTGGCAGAATGATATCATGATTATTTGCATCAATCCAGTGGCCATTTGTTTTGCTAACTCCATCTCAGTTCTAACTCCAACAGTGCTAGGTGCCTGCACACTTGAATTAACAGGTAACTACACTCAAAAATCTAAATTCTTAGATTTTTCCCGACCTCAAAAGTGGTCTCCTGGTGTAGTTGAAGCATTCTTATGGACTTACAACATCCAATATTGTTGTTTTTCTATTAAAAAGTGTGACTTTGAACAACCCGGGCTCAGTGGTAGACGTAAGATAGTAAAAGTAAATCTGGGAACTCCAATAAGTATAATATGTTACACTTTATATGGTATGTATTAATTTGTGGATGTCCATCATCCATTTTGTTTGATATTGTACGAGTTGCATTCATACAATATGTTACAAATTTGCAAAATGTATAATTTGTTACAAATTCCAATTTGTTGTGGCTAATGTTAGCTAGGTGGCTAACGCTAATGTTAGCTAGGTGGCTAACTTTAGCTAAGCTAGGGGTTAGGGTTAGGGTTTAAGGTTAGGGTTAAAGTTAGGGTTAGGACTTAGGGTAAATGGTTATGGGAAGGGTTAGCTAACATGCTAAGTAGTTGCAAAGTAGCTACAAAGTAGTAAGTAGTTGCAAAGTTGCTAATTAGCTAAAATGCTAAAGTTTTGCATGATGAGATTCGAACACACAACCTTTGGGTTGCTAGAAATTCTAGTTTTCCGCCCACCCACCCCAACCATACACCCTATTTTTGCTTTTGCCTTAGGTAACCTTCTGTCTAATGTAACCATACCTAACGTAACATATCATACTAATTTGAGACTCCCGGATTTACATGTACTATGTTACGTCTAGTCTATGAGACCAGGCTGCTTTGAAAGAGAAAACCTGATCTTTTTTAAAAAAATCAGAAACCTGTGAATTTCTGACTCAGTTGACATCCTAATTTATCTGTTTCAATAGTAGGCCTAGTATTAACCTACTTGCACAGTACAGCTTGGGTTGGCCTGACTGTGAAAGACCAATATGGGGTTTATCACTTTAGGTAATTCAGAGTGTATGTCACTGTTTCTCATAGAATTTCTCACACATGGCGCCTTTCCTTGGCCGGGCGGGGCCGTTTGGGATTTTGTTTTGCAAAATTAGAGTATATCCACTTCTCCAGGCACCTCTACACCACTGCCTTGAGCCTCACAGTAATCTATGCCATTACTCAGGTGAACACAACACAAATGATCTCTATGACATTGGGCAACCCTTCAGTAACTAACTACATAATGATTTATGAAGCACAGCGACATACAGTAGGCCTCTATATCACATGGGTGAGGTGGAACTTTCTTCAGCATGATGCTGATCTTTGGTAATTCCTTTTCTCATTCATTCTTATCCACTATTTGTGAGCTTGTATAACTGGCCATTCTGTAAACAGAAACTTGGCAGAAGCGTGGCTGTTCCTGGCACTTGTGTTGATGTTGCTGTGATCTTTGTGATGAATGGGGATATATTGTTTAATTTTGGGGATGAATAGACTTCATCCCTGGTTCTGGCATGCGTTCTTCACAGGTGTAGGGTATGAGAAGAAAGCTGGATCCTTCCCAAGTCCAGATCCATATCTATTGTTTACTCCTTGCTCCATAAATTAACTAAAATTAACTAAATGAACACAGAAATTATCTTAATATGTCTGAAAATCATGAAATGTATTGATTAGATGTTTAATTTATGGCCATCAAAGTCTCTATTATGGAACCGAATACTGTAGATCAGAATAATAATATCAGAACAAGCATAGACAATCTTTTCCTAACCATGCTTGCCAAAATCCTATTGATTTATGGCTTTGAGTATACATTTGTGCTTACTAATTAAAAGGTTCGATCTTCAGCTCTTGCGAAATATTAGCCTAAAGAAATATGCTTTCACATGCAGTTGTGAACTAGAAATGAACCTATGTTCTTACTTAGTTCAGTAAATAAACACAGAAAAGGATATCCCACAAAGGATAGGCACATACACTGATCTTTAACTTAGACGGATCATCTTTAACCGAAAATAATTAATAATGGTTAGACTGTCTGTGATTTATGTTTTCGCTATACATACGCAGGCCAGCTGCAGGTGATCGAAATAGTTTTTGTCTCCGTGTAGACAATATACACCTTTGGGAGTAGCTATACACAACAAAATGATTATTTTAGTCCATATGTCTTCTTGACTGATTTTCTCAGCCCAGGACATTTTTGGATGAGCATAGTGCCAATTTAGTCACTGCTACACAGGATACTATATTGTAGCAATACAATAGATTATTTAGTGAAAAATAAATCATGCACAAACTTTTCCAAGCCAAGCCATTTAGTAGTGTAGGTTGCATGCAACTTTTGCACAACCCCTACTAACCCCTAAAGGCTAACTTGCCATTCCAGAAATGAATTGTTATGTCATTGACCAATTGGCAGTAAACACAGGGGACATATCAGGCTGACACCTCTGCTCAGCTGACCTCAGTTAGCATGCTGCACAACTACTGCTGGACACTTACCAACAAAGAAAGACAGCTCATAAATGTCGATCAAGTGTTGTTGACCTCACTAGCATATATATTTATATATATACATCAAAACATGCTTTTGACATGTTTACCCACTTTCACAGAGTTTATTATGTCTGCAAGGAAATTAGTCCATAATAATCATATTGTTGAGTTATAACAAAAACTTTTAACAGGTCTATGATCAGTCTGTCAAGTTAGGCTGTGTGTGTGCGCGCGCATGCGTGGATGGGTGGGTTGGTGCATGCGTGCGCGCAAATTTGACAACATCAGTGATACTTAAAATATTGAAAGTAATTCATATTTATAATCTATAACAATCGGGTTCACAATGCAAGCGCTCTCTCTCTCTCAATTAAATTAAATTCAATTTAAGGGCTTTATTGGCATGGGAAACGTATGTTAACATTGTCAAAGCAAGTGAAGTCGATTGTAAACAAAAGTGAAATAATCAATAAATATTAAAAGTAAACATTACACTCAGAAGTTCCAAAAGAATAAAGACATTTCAATTGTCATATTATGTATATATACAGTGTTGTAACAATGTGCAAATAGTTAAAGTACAAATGGGAAAATAAATATAAATATGGGTTGTATATACAATGGTGTTTGTTCTTCACTGGTTGCCCTTTTCTTGTGGCAACAGGTCTCTCTCTCTCTCTCTCTCTCTCTCTCGCTCTCTCACACACACGCACACACACACACACACACACACACACACACACACACACACACACACACACACACACACACTCACCCACTCCCTCTCCCTTACTCAGATTTGCTCTCCGCTAATGGGAGGAGCGCAAAATTCCTCTCTCTATAAGAAGTGCCGAACGTACAACAAGGGATTTTACACAGCTACTCAGGAGAAACGAAATGATCTGCCCTGGAGCCGCAGCAAAATGCTGGATGGACACCTACTCCTGGGATGGTTATCGTTCACAGTTATAGTGTACCTTTTCAACTTGCCAGGACCGACAACAGCGTATTTTGGGTAGGCACTGTATCCATCCACATGTTCATGACACTGTCATTGATCAGAGTTTATTACGAGATATCATGCGCTCTTAGAGCAACTTTGAAAGATCGGATAAATTGCTTTACTTATATTAGCATACGGTTCATTCAATTGCTTCAACTTTAGTATCGCGTAAATATGACATAAATTAATAAGTATGGCACTCATATTTATCACTGTTGATGTGTCCTTTAGAAATATCAAATGTGGTTCAAGTGAATCGTTTAGGCTACTGCATGGTGTCCTTGTAGCTATATTGTGATTTGTTTCAAGTATCTGCAACATTGTTGCATAGAACTGTCAGTTCAGCGGCACTTCTGTAGCGCAGTAGGCTGTCACAGCGGGTGGTGAGAGCAGGTAGATGTGAGATGAATTAGTCGGAATTGCAGTGGGTTTACAGACGGGTGTAATAGCTCAGCCTACCGAAGGTTTGTTTTCCTCTGTCTTTGGGTAATATGCTGTAGCATATATATTTTTAAGGGGAGGAGGAGTTGGGGTTGTAAAATAACCAATATCAGCTGTCTCTGGGCAGGTTTAGACACACAGCATTGTATTTGCCTAACAAATATTAACATGGATCTAATAGGGCTAGTTTTGACAAAACCCTTATGTAAGTGTTGTTCAACTGAAAGGTGAACCCCTGTAGCTCAGTTGGTAGAGCATGGCGCTTGCAACGCCAGGGTTGTGGGTTCGTTTCCCACGGGGGGCCAGTATGAAAATGTATGCACTCACTAACTGTAAGTCGCTCTGGATAAGAGCGTCTGCTAAATGACTAAAAATGTAAAAAATAAAAGATCCCAAAAGCAATTAGTCTTCTGACAGGTATCCTACGCTCAGCCATTGATAGGCCTATCAGGCATATTTGAATGAAAGTAGCAGAGTAGTGTGATTACTTTGTTGAAATCGGCTCTGAAAACAGACATGGAGCGAAAGGTGAATGTAGGCTTCAGTCGCAACAGCTGGTAACAATAAAGCAATGCAGCTCACTTAACCGGTGTCTGAAACGTCTGTTCAGCTTTCATAGAAAATTCCCCGTCTAGCATAAACATCGAGATAGGGAAAATTCTGGCATATGGTTCGTGCTCCCACTAAGTTTAAAAACAGTTTAAAACACATTGGAAAGAATGTGTCCAGAATTTACAGTTCGTTTCGCAATCTCATGAGATACTATCATATCAAGGACAGTATTTTATTTATTTAATGAACAATTAAAAACGTTATTCCCAGGGAACGCCTTGGTTTTTTAGGTGTAGCCTACTATGACCACCGCAATATATCGAGGCTACTGGCAGCCTTTGTCTTTTCTGATGAATTTCATTCATTAGGATTCAGACTTCTTTGGAAGACCATTAATCTAAACATAGCAACAACAACAAAAATGCAATATCAACCTTCAAAGCTCTTGTGTGAAGGATACAAGTAGCCTACAGCAGGCATGTTATAGCTTGGATATGTTATAACAGAAGGTTCCTTCCCAGTTGGTGGTTTATATATCACTAATCTATTCTCAGTGGCACCTGCAATCTTACAGCAACTATGAGAGAGTTCAGTCAGAATCGTGATATTATTTTTAGGGATCTTTTATTCTACCATGAACACCACATCATTACAGTCACATTCTGTCTACAATATACAGACAATATATTGTTGTTGACGGAAGTAATCGATACCACCTTGTGTTGCAAACAATAGTTGTCATGAAGTTGATTTGAGTCTTTCACACAAACAAATGTGCACTCCTGGCAGCACTGAAATATTGTGGCTGTTTTAATTGTAGAGTGATGAGAGTGAGTGATAACACCAGCAGTATAATTCCATGGGTATCAAATAAATACATATGTTTTATTGTCACATACACCAGATAGGTGCAGTGAAATTTGTTATTTTATAGGGTCAGCCATGGTAGTACGGCACCCCTGAAATAAAATAAATCAAGTACCTTGCTCAAGGGCACGTCGACAGATTCTTTATCTTGTCAACTCGGGTATTCGAACCAGCGACATTTCGATTACTGGCCACATGCTCTAACCGCTAGGCTTCCTGCCGCCTATATAAGATAAGGGCGTCGTTTAGCTGTGAACCAGTGGGGGGATGCAGGGACGGGATGGGCCCTACGGGACCTGTTGGACATTATTACATTTACATTTTAGTCATTTAGCAGACGCTCTTATCCAGAGCGACTTACAGTTTTAGTGAGTGCAAAACATTTTCATACTGGCCCTCCGTGGGAATCGAACCCACAACCCTGGTGTTGCAAGCGCAATGCTCTACCAACTGAGCTACACGAGGCCCATTTTGAAGCTGTAAACTGGTTTGTTAGGCCTCAGGGGTCTAGTCTTCTCTCAGATCTCATAAAAGGAAACCAATAAATTAGGAAGGACCGGACAAAGCCGACTAGGGTGGAAGGAAGGAATAGCGCTGTTTGGAAATAATTACTTTTTGGATAACGATCATGGTTTTCATTGCCAGAGGTTGTGTGATATGATAGGAGTGTCCGTTTAGGTCTAATGTGTCACTCCTGAAAAGGTTATGTCCCCTGACCGGTACAGTATGTTGTTAGAGGAAGTTACTATCACCATAAATCCAACATGTTATTACAGATAATAAACATAAGTAACCTCGAATGTTAGGGTAACTGTCATTACTTAGTGTTCTTACTGTAGAGTTCAGACCTATGCTAGTTTGGTCTGGACTGTTACGCTGTCTAGTTTGGTCTGGACTGTTACGCTGTCTAGTTTGGTCTGGACTGTTACGCTGTCTAGTTTGGTCTGGACTGTTACGCTGTCTAGTTTGGTCTGGACTGTTACGCTGTCTAGTTTGGTCTGGACTGTTACGCTGTCTAGTTTGGTCTGGACTGTTACGCTGTCTATTTTGGTCTGGACTGTTACGCTGTCTAGTTTGGTCTGGACTGTTACGCTGTCTAGTTTGGTCTGGACTGTTACGCTGTCTAGTTTGGTCTGGACTGTTACGCTGTCTAGTTTGGTCTGGACTGTTACGCTGTCTAGTTTGGTCTGGACTGTTACGCTGTCTAGTTTGGTCTGGACTGTTACGCTGTCTAGTTTGGTCTGGACTGTTACGCTGTCTAGTTTGGTCTGGATTGTTACGCTGTCTAGTTTGGTCTGGACTGTTACCCTGTCTAGTTTGGTCTAGACTGTTACGCTGTCTAGTTTGGTCTGGACTGTTACGCTGTCTAGTTTGGTCTGGACTGTTACGCTGTCTAGTTTGGTCTGGACTGTTACGCTGTCTAGTTTGGTCTGGACTGTTACGCTGTCTAGAAAATGATACATGTGAGAGTTGTTCAGCAGCCCAGTGCCATAGAAACCACATCATCGCTAAAAGTCACACGTGTATCAAGTGAGCGTTTGAGGTATAGAGACATAGTGGTAGATCATAACCATCCAACAACATTACTATTGGCCCTCAATAACTAACCAGTTGCATGTATTAAGATTGATGCACAAAACAGGCACGTTATCTGATCTATATCTGTGGTCTTTGGAATGAGGACGCTATGATACTAGTCCAGAGTTATTCTATGTCCTTAGGACAGAGGGAGAATATTAAGGAGATGAGTGTCATTGAATGATTTATCCCTTTAAACCAGAGAACATGAGACAAACAGATGACATAGGTGACATAGATACACAGAGAATGTTGCTGCTACTGCCCCAAAGCCAAACCGACTACCCAGAAACCGGACACCACTGACACTCAGTGCAACACACGCATGCACACACACGCACGCACGCACTCACAGACACACAGACACACAGACACACAGACAGACAGACACACACACACACACACACACACACACACACACACACACACACACACACACACACACACACACACACACACACACACACACACACACACACACACACACACACACACACACAGCCAAACACACACACAGCAACAGACAAACAGCAACACACACACAGCAACAACACATACCCAAGAGTCCACTGTTCCCAAGTCCCTTACTGAGCGTGTTTTATCCTCTCCAGGCCTCATCTCAGAGGGGAGCACGTCTGCCCCCTACTGAGTCCAATACCCACTTCCTAAAGCAAGGGAAGCCTGTTCTGAACAGCCCGCTGGCCTCCTACCTCCATTCAGACAGTGCCGACTAGCCCTGCAGACCCATACATTTGCTTTGATTTGGGCATGACACACACACACACACACACACACACACACACACACACACACACACACACACACACACACACACACACACACACACACACACACACACACACACACACACACACACACACACACACACATACACACATCCCTAGGCTGGCTGACATTGAGTGGAGTATACATACATACTAACACACACTTGTTCAAATAAATATCTGCCATGAGCACGAGGACAGCACATCCTCCGGCCCTCTTCCTGGGTACTGATTTACTCAAAATAGATGGTCGATGTTGCATACCCAATTTCCAGAGTGCGGTGGAGCGTAAGTGTAACATAAACACTGTCTCTGTTGCCCGTAGTCTGCAGCGGCAGAGGGCGGGGTGGGATTCCTAGTGTGGTCAAGCACCCGCTCAAATTGTCATCCTTTGCCACAAGAATGTGAGCACTCATTTACTTTCCCCTGTTCAGCCTGTTGTGGCAGGTGCTGTTTCTCTCTCACATCCCAGTATCATTAGGCTTACCATTGGGGAAGTTAGCTGTGGTTTCATTCTCAGGCTTAGACAATACTGTACCTTGAGGGAATATTCTTTGTTGGGTGGTATTTTCGAGAAGGGAAGGGAGTGAAATTGTTCACTTAGTTGACCCCGGCTGAAGGGTTCACCTTGAGGAGTTTCAGCAGGATGCTGTTAAACAAGCTAACTTCATTCATTTAAATGCTACTTTTGGCCCATATAAAGGCATTTTGTGGTCTTGTAAACTGCATTCAATGCAAGCCCTAAACTGACTCAAACAGGCATTTGTTTTTATTTAGTTCACATGCTGCGGCATATACAGGAAGCCTACTCACAGCTATGCTATGTATGGTGAATTACCAATCACTAAGGCAGGGGTTTCCAACCTAGGTAGCGCCCCCTCCCCCCCCATATGGGGCCCCAACGTTTCGTGGGACTTTCCTTGATTTGAGGATTAAACGTATTTTTACAATTCACGATTTTACCAATATAAAACAATGCATTAATCTGTGATGCTTTAGGCTAGAAACAAACGGTGAAATGCCAGAGGAAGACGCGACGTTGATGCACATGGGAATATCTTTGGTTTGTCTCTATGACATTCAGAAGCTGAGGTACGACCTTCTAAAGTCAAGGAGTCAAAGAAATTGGTATTTTCTTGGGAAGTAATCTTATACAATGTGTGACTGTCGCTATCAATTGATTGAATCACTTTCTGTAAAAGATAATATGTATAATTAAATTGAGGGTGATCGTTTTTAAATGTGAAAAAGGGGTCCCTGGGGAAAAATGTTTGGGAACCCCTGCACTAAGGCATCACAATGAGTGTTAATAGGGTTGTTTATTGCTGCGACAGCCTTATGTGCCCTGTCCTCAGTTCAAGCTCCCAAAGGTAATGTCCACCTATTGTTTTCAGCCCCATTATTAAGAGAAAGTCTCAATATGCCTAAAACAACGTAACAAAGCAGATTCATTTGTAGCCTGCAATATACTCACTGCTTCTCCACAGTCTCCAGCGTTAATGTCTAGGCTTTAGCTTAGCGGGCTAACACAGTTGTAGCGGGCGGAACACGCTGGTTCAAACCCCCAGTTGGTGTGTTTCCAAGAGGTTATAGGCTACTCAACAGCCAGTCTCCATGTAAACACTTCCCGCCAGCTCCCCTCCACTCCCCAGGCTGCTGGTTCATGTGCGTGCTGCTGCTGGTATCCCAGTGGTTTGTGTAAAGATGCAGGGTGATTACCAGCCATTAAGAGTGACTGTGGGCTCAGGGCTGATGTTGGCGTGGGGCTAGGCTGGCAGACAGTGGTGGCGGGCTTCTCATTACAGAAGCCTTAAGCACTGATTAGCCCTGACGCTAGGCTAGCTCACAGGCAGGATACAGGCAGGCAGGGCGCAGGCAGGCAGGCAGGGCGCAGGCAGGCAGGCAGGGTGCAGGCAGGCAGGGTGCAGGAAGGCAGGCAGGTCGCAGGCAGGCAGGCAGGGCGCAGGCAGGCAGGCAGGGTGCAGGTAGGCAGGCAGGGTGTAGGCAGGCAGGGCGGGGAGCGTTCCCTGCCTGGGATAGAGGGATTTCCCAACATCAGAGGATATCCTGTGGCCGCAGTCACACCTCAGAGGGTATCACTTTACAGTGAGCCAAGATAGGATTCTCTCTCAGTGCTGGCTGCTTGGGGTTAGCTGTGATCACATGGAGTCTGGCTAGTGGTGAGATCTCACCTGGTATATTTGGCACAGTATTGTTTCAAGCTTGTCTTATGAGTTAGAGTTTGCACTGTGTAGAGTTAGGTCAATGTCCTCCCAGAAAGCATCTGGTGGAAGGAGTGCTATGCCCATAGCCACCACAGGGGGGAGCAGCCGCTTTCTGGAGCCCAGGATGTGTCTCATTCAGCACCTTTTAACCCCTTTGTGTAACCTTAGGAGAGTTGGAAATGAGATGTGAAAACAGCCAAATCTAAAGGCACCAGACACTGTGTAAGTACAAATTCAGGAAAAAATGTGTTCCATGTATGCATAGTTGTGGTCAAAATAAATGTCAAGTACAAAATGCTGACTTTGATCAACTTGGATGTCCGATGTCATTCAACTCAGCTCACTCACAGCAGGGCCTTGCTGTATTGTGCTGTAAAAATAAGAATTAATTTCACTTAATTGCTCCTTGAATAGCAGGTTAAGGCAGTCTGTCATGGAAATGGTTCCTCTACCAAATGTTGCCTGTTGGAGTTATTTTTCGAGTTTAGTCATTTGGAGGTTTACATACTCACACACCTTTGTTGTGAAGGTTTTAGTCGATGTTGTCTGCAGTGGCCTGGGTAGTGGATAGTCTGGATACACTCTGTACAGTATAATGATATGGTTCTACTGTATATGTTGAAGATTACATGGTGTTATTGCATTTGGAAAGGTCTTTAAAATGTGTGTTGGCCCACTCACATCCGAAGGGCTTAAGGTTCTGGTATCGTCAGCATGCCGAGCCCGACCACAGTTAAGAAATATTGTCTTTTAAAAGGAGGGAGCGGCTCCTGCTCCTATCCAGCCTTTACCAGTCAGCTGTGTACTTCATGGCTGGGTAGTCTGCAGATATGGAACGGAAACAAATTCTCATTGGTAAGAGAAGGTATACAGAGTTAGACACATGATGTTCTTTACAGATGGGACTCGGGACATAGCCTCGACAAGGGTAATTTGCAAAACAGGAAAACCAATATAGAATCATGATGCTTTTAGTGGTCTGGGATTGATGATCTGACGTTAATTAGCGGGATTGCCATGTCATATGTTTTCCGTCCTTAACCACAGGACAATTTCTGTGGGAGAACGCCTGTGTGTGTGTGTGTCTCTGTGTGTGTGTGTCTCTGTGTGTGTGTGTGGCCCTTGTCTCCAGCCAAGATTAGCCAGATTGACAAATGCTTGCTTTGGATTCTGGCTTCGAAAGGTAATCTGTTCTACTCTTCTTGCCTCATTTTCAGGTCGTGATGGGTTCAAGGAGGTCGTATGCAGTTACATGCAGTCTTGCCTTGCAGGCAGGTAGCACAAAGCAGCACAGGTTACCCCATGTTGTCTATGATCCAGTACAGTATGTTCAATAACTGGAAGTCCTTGAGAAATGAATCTACATGTAGAATCTAGAGTTAAGGTCTCGGAATGTTTAGCAAAAACCAAAGTCAGAATCATGAAGTAAATTAATATTTTATTGGGTGATTAAGTCTCAGTGTATGATGATTCTTACCCATATGGAACACCATAATAATCTCATTATGACTAGATTGAATCCAGGTGGATGTACTGTATGTAAGGTGAGCCAAAATTACATATCTTCCAGTTGTGACTAAGAGTTAGTACCTTGATGTTATAACCAGTGTGTAGCTACAGGACAGTAGTTTATCATCTTGATTCATTCATGTTGCTACTTAAGACTGCAGTGCAAACAATATACTGTACCACTTCCACCCTTACTGAGTATTGAATTTAGCTTTTGCTGGCTTTTCAGTAATTATATTTGAATTCCCTGAGAGAGAGAGAAGGAAGGAAACCTTGTAATCTCTCAGTAGCAACTGTAAATAACCGTTAATAACGACTAAACTTAGCCAGTCTTTCAGTTGCTGATGCATGGTTGAAAACAGCTACTGTTTTTTTGATAGTGGTTTTACTTTACATGCTTGGATTACCCCTGGGATGTGAAGTGCTCACTGTACAGTAAGAATAAATTAATAAATGTGTGTGTTACAAATCTATAATCTGCATAACCAATTACTCATTGTACAGAGTATTATCGAAAAGTACACTTTAAAATACACTGGTTCCCTTTCTTTCTTACCAAATAGTGGTGGTCTGATTCTCGTGTGAGCGTGTGTGTGTGAATGGTATATGAATGCGGTGGGTGTGTATGAATGTGTGCCGTGGCTGAACTTGTTTGGTGCGTCGGTCGGTCGGTGTGCTGGTACAGGGGTGCTCTGCGCTGCTCTGTGCCATGGCGTATGCTAGAACAGGGGAGTCATGTGGACACTGTTGTGGCGTGCCCAATCTGTGCCAGTCACACAGTGACTACAACTGAGCCGCTGACCCTAGGAGCCTTGAGTTCTCACATTGCAGTTAAACCTCTTACCAAGCTCCATGGTCTCATTCCCCAACCAACCCCATATTCAGACAGTACAGACCGCTCCACGGCTACAGAGCCAATAGTTCAGATCAGGGTAGCATTTTGAATAAAAGATTGGGAAATAATAATCTGCAGATGTCTAGAAAATGGTGATGTATTTCATTTTCTGGATTAAAAACTATAGTTTAGGTTCATAATGACTCTGGTAGGGGGGAGTGTCCTGACTGCTGTAGAGTAGGGCAATAGGGGGACAGGAAGGCCAGAGCAGTGCAGAGCTACGCCCTGTTGAGAATGGAGATGTCCTCCTTTTGCCAGCCTTAATGACACTGTTTCCATTTCACTTGTAATTTATGCCAGATATGGGGGAAAGAGTAAAAGGTTATTGAGGAGGTAAAGCTAAGATCAGCCATTGGTTGAGAGAGAACTGAGTTATATGGCTATTGCTTCTAAAGCCCTGAGATTGATACTGTACAGTTACAGGACACATAACAGATCATCTCTATAATAATAATAATAAGCCATTTAGCAGACGCTTTTATCCAAAGTGACTTACAGTCATGCGTGCATACATTATATATATTTTTTTGTGTATGGGTGGTCCTGGGGATTGAACCTACTACCTTGGCGTTACAAGCACCGTGCTCTACCAGCTGAGCTACAGAGGACCATCTCTGTGCCAAAACAGACCAATATAACTTCACATTTCAGTAAGTCATTATCGTTTAAATAATGAACCTTCCCGAATGGGGAGAATATGATGCCTAGTCTGTTAACGCTACAAAGTATTGTTCACTAAGTCGTAGAGGGGGTGAGGGAGGGATGGAGGGGATCGGGGGAAGTCCCCTATCTTCAACTGCTGACCTATACAGGATGTGACCAAGCATGATGTCATCTCTGTCCCTCTAGCCACTTTCCCAAATGGGACATGTCAGAACTGTGACTCAACTTGGGCATAATGATGCAAAGTATGATGACAACCATTACAAAGTAATGTTCATTGGTCATCTAACCCAGTACAGATCAAATGTGGACCTAAACATTTTCAATGACTTGGATGCCACAGTCGGAATGTTGTTTTTTCTCTCTTTCACTCAAGCTTCAGTTCAGTCAGTAGTAGTACATAGCCTAGGCAGCAGCCTTGGATTCAGGCCGGGCCAGAGGGAGAATACCACACTGACATTCCTACTACCTCTGGCAGGGCCTGGCCCGTGAGATACCGGATGGGACGAAGGTTTGGGCCCTCCAGAGGTCACACCCAGCCCAGATTTTCTTTTAAAAAATTCCCCTGTTATCTTTACAATAGCCTGGCTACCACCATAGGGTTGGATCACATTTAGACTTTTCTGAGGTGAGCATGGTGGTTTGTCCCTAACAGACAGGGGATTAGGTAAACTACCCCAGGGGGCTTGTATTTACAACGACTGTTAATATGGGACCTGTTGTGTCTGCTTGCCTTGCTCACTGTCTGTCTGGCTGTCTGTCTGGCTGGCTGGCTGGATGCCGTTGTTTTGGGTTATCTTTAGTAAGACAGCTGGCTGGTTCGTTTTCTCTGGGAACAGACTTTGTTTTGAGCCAACAGCTGGAGGGAATGATTGGCATTCGTTTAGAGTAAATTGGCCTGTGGGGGTAGGTATGGGTGAGGAGGGCGAGAGAAGAGGGGAGAGCAACCCCTTGAGAGGGGGAGCGAGGGATAGGAGAGGGAAAGCAGAGGGAGATGCAGAGGGAAAGGGGGGAAGAGGAGGGGGAGAGGGGAGACAGGTAAGGAGAGAGGGGAGACAGGGGAGACAGGGAAGGAGAGAGGGGAGACAGGGAAGGAGAGAGGGGAGACAGGTAAGGATAGAGGGGAGACAGGTAAGGAGAGAGAGGAGACAGGTAAGGAGAGCGGGGAGACAGGTAAGGAGAGAGGGGAGACAGGTAAGGAGAGAGAGGAGACAGGTAGGAGAGAGGGGAGACGTAGAGGGTGAGACAGTAGGAGAGGGAGACGTAAGAGAAGAGACAGGTAAGGAGAGAGGGGAGACAGGTAAGGAGAGAGAGGAGACAGGTAAGAGAGGAGAGTGAAGGAGACAGGTAAGGAAGAGAGGAACAGGTAAGGAGAGAGGGGAGACAGGTAAGGAGAGAGGGGAGACAGGTAAGGAGAGAGGGGAGACAGAGGAGGAGAGAGAGGAGACAGGTAAGGAGAGAGGAGGCAGGTAAGGAGAGAGAGGGAGACAGGTAAGAGAGAGGGGAGACAGGTAAGGAGAGAGGGGAGACAGGTAGGAGAAGGGAGGGAGAGAGGAGGTAAGGAGAGAGGGAGAAGGTAAGGAGAGAGGGGAGACAGATAAGGAGAGAGGGGAGACAGGAAGGAGGAGAGGGAGAGGAGACAGGTAAGGAGAGGGGAGGCAGGTAAGGAGAGAGAGGAGACAGGGAAGGAGAGAGGGGAGACAGGTAAGGAGAGAGAGGAGACAGGTTAGGAGAGAGAGAGAGGAGACAGGTAAGGAGAGAAGGGAGACAGGTACGGAGAGAGGGGAGACAGGTAAGGAGAGAGGGGAGACATGTAAGGAGAGAGGGGAGACAGGTTAGGAGAGAGAGGAGACAGGTAAGGAGAGAGGGGAGACAGGGAGGGAGAGAGAGGAGACAGGTAAGGAGAGAGGGGAGACAGGTAAGGAGAGAATGGGAGGGAGTTGACCTTAGAGACACCAGACCACACAACCAGCAAGTTGAGACTGATTGATAAACTGTAGTTTCAAGTTGAGACTGATTGATAAACTGTAGTTTCAAGTTGAGACTGATTGAGAAACTGTAGTTTCTCGCTTTTCTGTTTGGGAGGGTTCAGCCAGGGTTGACTCTTTAAGGTGTTGACTTTAGGTAGCAACACACACAGACACACAAGTGCTGTGCACATGCAAGCGCAGGTGCGTGACGCACACATACACACACAAGTATGTACACATACACACACACACACACACACACACACACACACACACACACACACACACACACACCACACACACACACACACACACACACACACACACACACACACACACACACACACACACACACACACACACGCACACGCACTCACAGCACCTGTTGGCAAGTGGGGTGGAGATGGTATAAGGGTACATACTAGCTGCACATTTGTCTAACCTTCAGTAGCCTCTGTTTGATATACACTGAGTATACCATACATTAGGAACACCTTCCTAATATTGAGTAGCTCACAAGGCCCTTTAATGATGTGAGGCTTGAGGCAATTGCCTCTTCTGTCTAATGATAAGTCCGCTAGTGTGTGCAACCAGAATAACCATTGACGAAAGACAATGGGGATTGTGATACTGTAGCCTAAGTTTTCAGCCAAGTGTAATATGTAATGTCCCAAATGTCCATTGGAACTCACAAAACCACCAATGGTTTGCAGTCTGGAAAAGCACAGATCTGATTGGAGTAGGGTGGTCAGTTATCGTTTTTCTCTATCAGCATCACTGGATGTCAATCAAAGCCAATGTAGTCTGACACTGTTAATGAACAATCTGGAGATCTAAAAAGCAATAGTCATGGTTGTCGTCTTAAGTTCATCACTCCCTCATTATGTAGTTCACAACAGCAAGAGCATATTTGTTACAGAGCAATCCGTTAGTTGCACTGCAGCTCTCTCTGTCACAACATGTGTTTTTATTAGTCCCCTGTAACTGCAGATTTTGTACTGAGTTGCCTTTTTGACATACTGATATTATGAAGTGTAAATGACACGCCAGCATCTATGCATGTTTGCATATGTTTATAAAGAATGAGTCATTGCATACTCATCACATACTCATTAAGATGATCAATATTAGGCCAAAGGTTATGTGATATCAAGGTTATTATCAAGCTGCCAATATTTGATTATGTTAAATGTTCTTGTACTACGCCTTCACATGTAACCCTTAATAACCCTTCATAAACCCTTTATAAACCCCAGATGAAGAGCGACATTAACAGCCATATTATAAAGCAGTGCAGCAGCAGTGCAGGCCAGGGTCGTGGTAGGGGCTCTGACACGAAGCCAGAAGGGTGATGAAGGCAAAGTTTAGTCTGAATAAATGATTTCCTCCAGGGATCCAGGGCTGTGTGAGTACACACACACACACACACACACACACACACACACACGCACACACACACACACACACAGCGTAATGAGTCGTTTTCACTCAGCCATCATTGGAAAATGTATATCAAGTAAATGTCACGGGCAATGGGACGCGTTGACAGGTGAAGAGAAAGACCTAAACAAACTCCACCAGTGAAAGGTGCAGGCAGGGAGGAAGAAGGCAAAGCGACGAGGGAGATTAGCCTTGTTTGAAGCCTCGGTCGACGATGTCTGTGTGTGAGTGAGGAGTGCATGAGTGAGTGAATGAGTGAGTGTTAGGAAAAAGCAAAGCTGAGCAAACAGCAGTAAGAATCCCACCTCACGTAGGATAATAGTGAACTTTATTATTTTTCTGTTGGTGTTATGTTCCATGTGTGTTGCTGTGCCAACACCTCAAAGGAGAAACAGCCTCTGAAAACAGTTCATGATAGAAAAACAAGGGTCTACATGCTCTTACATTCTAATGTGTAAGACCTAAACCTAGCAGCAGTAGCTCGCTACACTGCTAACTATACTCCCTTTAGTTCATATACCTTACATTGTTAACATGTACAGTCGTGGTCAAAAGAGAATGACACAAATACTAATTTTCACAAAGTCTGCTGCCTCAGTTTTGATGATGGCAATTTGCATATACTCCAGAATGTCATGAAGAGTGATCAGATGAATTGCAATTAAGTCCCTCTTTGCCATGAAAATGAACTTAATCCCCAAAAAACATTTCCACTGCATTTCAGCCCTGCCACAAAAGGACCAGCTGCCATCATGTCAATGATTCTCTCGTTAACACAGGTGAGAGTGTTGACGAGGACAAGGCTGGAGATCACTCTGTCATGCTGATTGAGTTAGAATAACAGACTGGAAGCTTTAAAAGGAGGGTGGTGCTTGAAATCATTGTGCTTCCTCTGTTAACCATGGTTACCTGCAAGGAAACATGTGCCGTCATCATTGCTTTGCACAAAAAGGACTTCACAGGCAAGGATATTGCTGCTAGTAAGATTACACCTAAATCAACCATTTATCGGATCATCATGAACTTCAAGGAGAGAGGTTCAATTGTTGTGAAGAAGGCGTCAGGGCGCCCAAGAAAGTCCAGCAAGTGCGAGTGCATCTGCACACACAGTGAGGCGAAGACTTTTGGAGGATGGCCTGGTGTCAAGAAGGGCAGCAAAGAAGCCACTTCTCTCCAGGAAAAACATCAGGGACAGACTGATATTCTGCAAAAGGTACAGGGATTGGACTGCTGAAGACTGGGGTAAAGTCATTTTCTCTGATGAATCCCCTTTCCGATTGTTTGGGGAAAACACCTTGTCCGGAGAAGACAAGGTGAACGCTACCATCAGTCCTGTGTCATGCCAACAGTAAAGGATCCTGAGACCATTCATGTGTGGGGTTGCTTCTCAGCCAAGAAAGTGGGCTCACTCACAATTTTGCCTAAGAACACAGCCATGAATAAAGAATGGTACCAACACATCCTCCAAGAGCAACTTCTCCCAACGATCCAAGAACAGTTTGGTGATGACCATTGCCTTTTCCAGCATGATGGAGCACCTTGCCATAAGGCAAAAGTGATAACTAAGTGGCTCGGGGAACAAAACATTGAAATTTTGTGTCCATGGCCAGGAAACTCCCCAGACCTTAATCCCATTGAGAACTTGGTTGATCTTCAAGAGGCGGGTGGACAAACAAAACCCCACAAATTCTGACAAACACCAAGCATTGATTATGCAAGAATGAGCTGCCATCAGTCAGGATGGGCGGCAGGTAGCTTAGTGGTTAAGAGCGTTGTGCCAGTAACCGAAAGGTCGCTGGTTCTAATCCCCGAGCCGACTATGTGAAAAATCTGTCGCTGTGCCCTTGAGCAAGGCACTTAACCCTAATTGCTCCTGTAAGTCGCTCTGGATAAGAGCGTCTGCTAAATGACCAAAAAAAAAAAAATGGATGTGTCCCAGAAGTTAATTGACAGCATGCCAGGGCGGATTGCAGAGGTCTTGAAAAAGAAGGGTCAACACTGCAAATATTGACTCTTTGCATAAACTTAATGTAATTGTCAATAAATGCCTTTGACACTTATGGAATGCTTGTAATTATACTTCAGTATACCATAGTAACATCTAACAAAAATATCTCATAACACTGAAGCAGCGAACTTTGTGAAGACCAATACTTGTGTCATTCTCAAAACTTTTGACCACGACTGTACTCACTGTAGTTTTCACATGTTTCAGGACCATAGATATTGAGACATTGTGGTTGGGCAGGGCTTTCCATCATTCCTACTCAGAACCAGTGAGCTCCTGTGTTCCTGGAAACAGAATAATGACTTTAAGACCAAAGATCTTGCAAGATCAGTTTCTGGAATGCTACTGTACGGGCACAATACTCTCCTTTCGACTCCATCCTTTGTTCTAAGTGAGTTGAATGAGTTCGCTCTGCAGAAGTCAACAGTGCTCCTTTTGAGTGTGTGACACTGGCTCTGCAAAACTTAGCATAGTCTGAGTGAGTGTGTGACATTGGGTTTCTTTTGACTCACATTATGGAGGTAAACTGATCTTTAAACTGATCTTTAGCTAGTTATTCTGTACGGTTTTGGGTTCTCCTTCTTCGTCTAACACCTCTTCAAATGTGCTTGTTAGGCAACATGCAGGAGCACAATTCACCAAAGTACTATGACCACCATTGTGCATGTTGAGGATAGCTCTAAGAAGTAAAATTATAATTTCCATCAGTGTTTTAAAACCTAATACCGATAGCCTCCCCTCAGCTCCTCCTGTAGATATCAGAAATCCTTTAGAATAGGGGGGAACTGGAATTAAAGCACATCTGTGATAGCATTTGACTGCCACAGAGCGGAAACATGCACAAGACGACCCACAGTAGCTTCTTCTCGCGAGACCTGAAGAAGTGTTTCTCAAATCTCCTCCTCCTATCCGCACTTTGCCTCCCAGCCTTCTTGGTAACTGGATAAAAATATGCTTTTGTGTGGAAGTCAGCTAAGCAGGCAGAGCAGTAGCCCAAAGGATTAGTGTTGTCTCTTGCCTCCTTCCAGCTTCAGAATGTCTTTGTGTCTCAGACAGACACACAGACAGACGGACAGACGGACGGACAGACGTCACAGTACACAGACACTTTTGAGGAATGGCATTTTATTTGACTCTTGTCTTGGATAGCCTCAGGGCCAGGCAGGCAGCCAGCCAGGCCTCTGTGCTCTATGGAGAGTTAACACTGAGGAGACTGTGATAGTGACAGTAATGGTTGAGGCTCCTGATGTGTGTCATGTCCACTAAGGAATGTAACATGTCATGGTGATAGGATTTAGATAATTCTGACAACGTTTTTGTCTGTGGAGTTTCACCACTGTTGTTATTGGTAATAATGGCACACCCATGTATAGTTTAGCGCAACCGGCAGCAAACTATCTAGAGTTATGCCATGAGCAACCATTGTGCCTAACATAATTGAATTGCTGTGTACGGTACATTACAAAGGGTATAACTCAGCATCCGGTTGCTGTTTCTTTTGCTCTTACAGACTTCAGGAGCGTGATGCTTACATCTGTCAAATCTCTAGGAATGTTTAAATAATAGTTTTAAAAACAGGTGCTTAATTTACTGAGACTGCCAAGCTTCATGAATAATCTGTTCCACTTTGTATCTCCTGGGTAACATCACTTATTTTATTCATCCAGCGATATCTAAGTTCAGTAAAGTTTGTATATTATTATATTTGTATATTATTACATTTCAGGCATATATCTTAGGGCTTGTTGAGTGATGGCTGGAGTTTGGCTCTCCTGATGGCATGTAGAAATTAATTATGCAGGTTCTCTAAATGGTGTTGCCATCATTCAAATATTGAGCCTCAGCCCACAGCAGAAGTGTTGTGGAAATGTTGTCAATCACGATGACAACCGTTTATTAACTGGTACATTTTGCTCTTGAGTTCTTTATTTTTCTCCTCACTGTGTTGCAGACGTAGTGGATACACATATTATCAAAATAAATAACAATTAAGATGAATAAAGATAGCATTTGTATGTCTGGAGTATCTCTATACGTACAGTATATACTGAGGCACAGTCAGGCCAGACTATCCTACAATGTACTTAAGCTCTTTTACTCCCTAAAGGAGAACAATTTCTGTCAAGACACAGCTTGCCAGGTTTCCATTAGAAAAATCCTTAGATGTCAGACAAGTTAGGAAAGGCAAACATGTTTTGAAAAAAATAAGAGATAGGAGCCATTTGACCTGATCTGAGTACACAAATTCCAAAACCTGCCCTTAACCCCACTAGACTGTTGAGATCATATTCTTCATATGGGGCATGCCATGTACATAGTAGATAATGAAAGCACTGTAAAGTATTCAACAGAAAATGTATATAATAACATACCATTGTAAGCTAACATAAGCTAAACATAATAGGATATTGGTATGCAGTATGACTTTGTGGCCATATAGAGGCACCACTCTAGGTTTTGTTTGTCATGATTTTAGACTCCAGGGAAAACACTTCACAATCAGTTATTATCAGTTCTGAAAGTTTTCTCTCTCTCTCTGTGTAACATGACCTCTGTGACCTCTTCATTGAGGCCGTTTGGCTCTGAATGGTGACAGAAGACAAATGAGGTCATAAAGTGAACATGTAGCACCATTGACTGGAGGAGTACACAGGCAGAAGTACCCAGTAACTCTCTTGAGATACAGACTGTGAATCAATCAGTGTTCACATTCGCTGCAACACGGCCTATGCCTGGGACATCTGGAAGGAATCTCTATGGCTGTGATTTGGTTAATAGTTGTACCCAAATGACTCATGGGCTGGAAATGGAATTGAATAGGTTTCTGGTTCATTGGCATCAGTAACACGCTAGCTAAATGCTAATAGTGGTTGGCTGACTGGCTGTGTCTTGCTCACTCTCTCATTAGCTTGTGTCCTACTATTACAGAACAGGGCTGAATCTTTCCTCACTGAAGAGTTATTGTACGGTTCACTTGTCATAGTTACTCATTAGACTAGCTATCGCGACCTGTTCTGCCCATGTGACTGGTGATGTCTGCATGGGCCTCTCATTGTGCACGGTGTAATCAGAGCATTGTTTTGTGAATGAGATCAGAACTGTGTCATCCAAATCTGACACACCAGATTCACTTGAACATGACAAGTAAACTCCGCTTTTTGTCTGGTGACATGCTAAAGCCATTAGATAAAATAAACCTGTTTTATTAAGATTGATGGAAGGGAAGTTCACTGAAGGCCTAAAGCTAAATGCCAACATTTTGATGGCGGAGGCCAGAGACAGGTCACCGTATGGCACTGAGCAGAGCACTGAAGTTATATTGAGGAGACAGGAAGAAAAACAACCTCTCCTTGTCACCTCCAGAGTAAATCTAATATGTTTATCCCTTATTGATGGCTGTTGTCAGGACAACCCCAGATTGTTTTCAAATATAGCAGATGTCAATATTAGCAGGGAAACGTTGACATTTAAAAGGCATCAAACTCTTTCAGTAATGGCATATTATGTGCCCGGGTCCGTTGTAGGAGTCTGTTTGTGAATTCTTCTGTAAATCCATGTATTCTTCTCTTTCACTTTAATGGTGTAAAAGTGGCTCTGAAATTGCACATAATGAACATCTACCCTGCCAATCCTGTCAGATGGTGTGACCAAAATGGTCACAGGCTGACAGTCATGTCCCCTGCGTCTGTTTGTGAAAGTAATGCTCTGCTTTGCCTATCCGTCACAACCTCAGAACGCTGGTCAGTCAGGGAGGGTTTTGCCAGCTATGCGGCAGACCCCGTGATAGCTTGTGTGTTTTATATACACTTCCTTTAAATAAACTGACGAAAGGAGTGCAACTCTACCACATGTTCTCCTATACCGTGTTTAGAAACTAAGCTTAGCCTCATTATATTTCAAATGAATTGCAGCTCTAGGGTCCTGAATACTGGAAGTTTGTATGGGGATTCTATAATGAGAGTGTAAAGCCTGCTGTGTGATCATGTTTAAATCTATACACCGCTGGTCGCCGTGAGTGACAGTCAGTAGTCCCCAGGATATGGTAGGTCTCCATTGGTTGGCTACTGTTTAGCATGCCTGTGGTGTGACGGTCAAATTGACTGTGTGGGACCATTGTTTTAAATATGTCATATCATGTCCTTTAACCACCCTGTATCAATCTAGCTAGCTAGCCAGCGATGTTATGACTAGAGTCCTTATTGGTAGCTACACTAAAAGAGACAAATCAGCACAGAACGTTCTTCAGCTGCTGAGAACGTGCTATATACACAGACATGGTGAATGTTGATTTCAATCTCCAGAAAACGTTGCATTCCCCGGAACATTAACCATTGAACTCGATTGCAACCTTCAAAAAATGGCAGCCGAATTCCCTCGAACATTAACCAGCTCTGACTTAGACCATAAAGGTCAGCCTTCTGTATTTGGGACTTAGCATACCATTTTCCTGACATTTCCAGTCCACTGTACTGACTGAGTGTTCCGATAGTTGATTTTTCATTCTCCGTACCCCAAAAACGGTGTGTTACAGTACATCTCCCCAGATTGCCAGGTAATGCCTGTAATAAACTTGAGGAAGGCCCTTGGGTCGAAGCGTTGCTAGCAGGAGCACAGCAGGAGCACAGCAGGAGCACAGCAGGAGCACAGCAGGAGCACAGCAGGAGCACAGCAGGAGCACAGCAGGAGCATCTGACAGTATCTAACGGGCATCTCTCTCTGTCTCCCCAGACTGACAGGTAATGAACCGCTGTCCATCCTACCGCTGAGCTCCCAACCCGAGGAGAACGTGGGTAGGGCCCACTACAAGCTGTGCGACCGGCTCAAACTGGAGAAAAAGCAGCGGCGGATGTGTCGACGAGACCCGGGTGTGGCCGAGACCCTCATGGAGGCCATCAGCATGAGTGCCCTGGAGTGCCAGTACCAGTTCCGCTTCGAGAGGTGGAACTGCACCTTAGAGGGCCGCTACAGAGCCAACATTTTAAAGAGAGGTAGGGAAAGAAAAGCTTCTCAACTTCATATAAAAATATGCCATTTAGCAGACACTTTTATCCAAAGCGACTTACAGTCACGCGTGCATACATTTTTACGTATGGGTGGTCCCGGGGATCGAACCCACTACCCTGGCATTACAAGCGCCATGCTCTACCAATTGAGCTACAGAGGACCACATGTAAAATGTTCTGAGTTAGACTTTTTCAGCTTGCAGATAACTCATTTCTGACTTTCATGGGTGGAGGGGGAGAGACATTTTTGCAATTTATGCTGCCATCATTGAATGGTATAACATTGAATGGCCATAGTAGATAGTACAGTAGAGAGTATTTGTTTTGTGATGGCAACTTTCAATGGCTCATTTTAAGTGTCCAGTAGGAAGTTGGTAGCTTATAACTGATATCTGATTCTTCCCCTTGCTCCACATCTCTCCAGGTTTTAAGGAGACAGCCTTCCTGTATGCCATCTCCTCAGCAGGCTTGACTCACGCCATGGCCAAGGCATGCAGTGCCGGGCGAATGGAGCGTTGCACCTGCGACGAAGCCCCAGACCTGGAGAACCGCAAGGCCTGGCAGTGGGGCGGCTGTGGAGACAACCTGAAGTACAGCAACAAGTTTGTCAAGGACTTCCTGGGCAAACGCTCCAACAAGGACCTGCGTGCCCGCGTGGACATGCACAACACTAACGTGGGCATGAAGGTGAGTGTGGAATGGAGCCATGTTGGACGATGCAGTACATTTGATCTTGTTGATTTGTGTGATGGGACCACAACTCACAATTCGTCACAACTGTTGCTGTAAAAAGGACTATATGAATATTTGATGGTTAATTGACTGATTGACTGATTAATTGAGTGATTTAGTTATTGATTGATAGTGGAGTTTGATATATCTAGGCCTGAGTTCTATGGGCGTATTCTAGGGTGAATATATTCTCCTACATACACATCTCTATATAATGTTGGGTTGTTAAATTATTGTTCTCTAAGTTGACATCAGTCTAAAGTCACAGCAAAATGACCAGAACCAGTGAAAATGACCAGAACCAGTGAAAATGACCAGAACCAGTGAAAATGACCAGATAGGAATTTAATGTGACCACGAGAAGAATAACAATGACAGGGTTTTTACGGCTACATTCCAGTGGTCGACAGAGAACCGTTTACCCACATGCTGTGGTTATTAAACAAAACTATAGATTCTAAAGCATCCCACTTAATAGGAAGATAAAAGGCCAGCCTAAATCACTTAAATTGACTGCTAAATTCAGTCAAATAAGAGGCCTCTCGTTAATCAACCTTTGGTTCTCCCTCTCAAATTAGAGAGATAATAGCCTTAATTTGTGCCTTGGCGAGAGTAGACAATTGTTTGTGGTGAGGGAATGAGGGTTTGGTTTTTCAGCTTGGATGTGATTTTAATAGTAAAAACAAAAAGAAGAGAGAATGGTTTTAAATTGTCAAGCCAAAGCAAACTCAAGGTCCTGGCATCCGCTAGCTTTACTCAGATTTTCTCATATTGTAGCCATTTTCATTTTAGTATTAATATAAATGATAGCAGAAGCACACTTCCCCAAATGTTATCAGACACAAAGCTCTCCCCGAAGACCAATGGTGTGTTCTTCCTCTTCAGCTTGGCTCTCCAAATCCATTCTCTCAGGAGATTTTATTTGTGATAAAAGATTTACAAGCTGTTTTCGTTCAGGTTTTTTCTTATTTGCACATGTAGTGAGGTGTACCACGTCCCATATGGAGCACAAATCTTGGAATGTGCTAGGCTATGCATCCCTAGAACATTTCGAAGCTGACATTTCAAATTTTCCTGAACTGAACTGCAAGTGTGGCGAATATGCAGCACTTCTTTCTTATCCCCGAAGCAGTTTCCCAGTGTGTGAGAAAATAACCGGAGAGAGTCTGTCCAGTCCAAGCCTCCTTTGGAGAATATGCATTATGGATTTTCACAAAACTTTTTTATGTTGTGGTCAGTCGATGCTGACTGAGCTGTACACAAATGAATCGTTGCCTGCCACAGAGAGTTCAAGCAATGTCGCAACGTGTGCTATTTACTGTTGTGCTGTATTTGACCAAACAACAACCCGTTCACCACCCGAAAATGTTAGTTTGTCGAACATTAACGGTCAGAAGTGGTCTCTCAAGTTCAACTGAGTCCATATTCCATGCCATCTGTTGAATAGATCCTGTTATATGCATTATGAGAAATCTTCAGGTCTCAACATATTTGACGTAAAATGGATTTGTTTAGCTTTCCACTTATTAGCCTAACTGTAGTATTATGAAGTTGGCCTGGTGAAAGAGATGGACCTTAGGGTTTTTTGTCTCCCACATACCTTAAAACAACCCAAGAACAGGGGCCAGGGTCTGGGTATCCTGTCTCCTTCTTTCCCGTGGCTGTGGAACTCAATGGATCTTTTCTTCAGAAAAAGTGCCTCCACTTACTACTAGTAATAACCATGATGACTTATCACAATATTATCACAACAGTATGTATCGTCACTCCCACCTACAAAGATGATCTTTTAAATGATTGCTTATAGTGTACCACATGTTTTGGTCTTTGGTCAGGAACTGATTTCAGTGTGACAATGTTATCATGTAAATTGTTATTATGTTAATGACAGTTTATCACCAATAAGTAGAGCCTATAGATAATCTAACTCTGTGGTGGGAGTATCAGCAGAAAATATCATAATGGCCTCGGTGCTCATCACATTTTAATACATTGATGTCCTGTGTATGATATGAGTAAAGTCTTCATATTGGAGGTTATTAATTATGATATTAGGATGTATAACATAGACCCATTGTGCTGCAGAAATTACAGGGGAGTGTCTGGGTAGTTTTTCTACCTTCTACCTACAAAGTACAAAGTGGGTCAAAGTTGATATTATGTTGTTCTCAGGCTGTCCCTTTGATCCCCTGTGGTGGCTGACTGTCTGTATGTTCCTCTCCTCTCCCACCACCAGGTGATCAAAGCTGGGGTAGAGACTACCTGCAAATGCCACGGTGTCTCAGGCTCCTGCACCGTCCAGACATGCTGGAGGCAGCTCTCGCCCTTCCATGAGATCGGCAAGCAGCTGAAACAGCGCTACGAGACCTCTCTGAAGGTGGGCAGCTCCACCAACGAGGCCACAGGGGAGGGGGAAATCTCCCAGGCCCGGCCCCAGCAGCAGCAGCCCCCACCGGGCCCCAACAACGACCCAATCCCACGCACCATGGACCTTCTCCACATCGAGGACTCACCCAGCTTCTGCCGGCCCAGCAAGTACTCGCCGGGCACCTCGGCCAGGAAGTGCTACAAGGACAAGAACTGCGACGCCATCTGCTGTGGCAGGGGCCACAATACCCAGAGCCGCGTGGTGACCCGGCCATGCCAGTGTCAGGTGCGCTGGTGCTGCTATGTGGAATGCAAGCAGTGTACACAGAGAGAGGAGGTCTACACCTGTAAAGGGTAGCCCAGTCTTAGAGGAGAGAGCAAGACAATGGAGTGGGAGGACCTTTAGAAGCACTTTGAGGGATTTTCTGTTGTGTGGGTTTGGTTCTAATGCCCTGTGGCCCCAGCCAATGGGGGTTGGGGTTGCAGCAGGAGATTGGCCTTGTCTGACAACCGGGTCAACATGTGTCTCATGCTTTCTGGTTGCAGAGTTGGAGCCTTGGAGAAAGGCTACCTCGCCTATTCAACATCCAGTCAGATGTGTCAGTGAGAAAACACAGCACTTGGCAGCTGTCTCCGGCTAGCATGCTGTTAACGAGGATCCAATATAATGACAGTAATAGTAAAAGACTGGCTTTTGGGCCTTGCCCAAAGTAGAAATGTGTGTGTTGGCAGCGAGTGAGGGTGCAGGGGGGTCAAATGACAACTCATATGGTAATCATGGCAACCATATTCCGAAACTGTTCTGAACACAGGGTGTAAGATTTATTATACACGCACATATTTACACTCACACACCAATGTGTGTATGCATATGTATGTAAATCAATTAAATTGTATTATAATGATATTATACACACTTGCCACTTCTCTGAATATGTTTAAACAAACCACTAACTACACAAATGTTTTGTTGTTTGTGTGTTCTCACTCTCTTTTGCTTTTTAATTTGTTTTGACAAGGCGCTTTGGAAAGCAGCACATTTGTGTCCTTTGTGTCTCTCTGTGGATAATTTATGGACCCTTTGGGACTACTCCTTCACGAGGAGAGAAAACACGTTCATTTGTCTTTGATTCTTTTACACTAGAGGGAAATTGTTGGTGAATACATGTACAGAAATGTATTTTTGTTTTGCCAGTAATTTTAGGCTACTCTTGGCCTTGAGTGAACTCAACTAATGTTCAGGGAATAACTGAAACCACTATACTTATTTGGAAAGAGTAAAAAGAAAAACTGAAAATCTGTACGTAATCGAAAGTTCAATGAGAGAATGGCCTTGCTTTTCTGAGTTTAGTGTCTATTACTGTCACCGTGACAACAGGAGACCACCTGACCAGTAGAGAATGCATCTTCCAATCAGATGACTAGTGCTCTAAGTAACAGCAACTCAACTATGTCACCTTGCTTCTTGGTACTTAGTTAGCCCTCTGTTTAAAAAAGAAAAGCCAATCTTGCTAGTAATAGTACTATAACATTATAAAGAAAACAGCAAACTGTGGGGTACAGGAGAAATGTAACCCCTATTTCTATACATACCCTCTCATATCCTTCCTTCCTCTCTCTACACCCACCATTTGATTGACAAGGATAAATGGTTGAGGTTGAAAATGAACAGTATGGTGCAATAGAAACTAAAATACATCTTGAGATGTTTGCAAAATGGCTTAAACATTAACACCCAGAGCAAATGTGGTCTTTTAGAGATAGTCCTGCTGAAGCTCAAAGTATTAGGTGACAAAGTGTGTTTGCGACGACAAAGCAAATGTATGCTCTAGCTGGAGCCTATGCATTGTCTATCCATTGTTTTGGGCATAGCTACCACAACTCTGTGACTGCAAAGGTACAATCTCCTTTTGTGTTGTTTTGACAGGAATTTTCTCTAAGGCAGGTTACTATTATGTTGTATGACTAACATTTAATATAGGACGTTTGAAGCTTAAAATGACTGGTGGCAAAGGCAGAGCCAACCCTGTAAAACAGCTACAATAACTCGTGAGATCCAAAGTCATCTTTAGATTCCCTTTAGATATACAGTCTTTGCCTTGTTTTAAGTGGGTGAGAATGAACTACTGAGTGAGGAACCCAACATTGTAAGATAGCCCCATTCACGCACTGAAGCCCCAGAAGCCCTTAATAATTTCCCTTTAAAGTATTTATGAATATATACAGTGCAGATGTTTTTGTTTATTGTAAATAGCAATGGTTTATTCTCCTGTGGTATAGAGACAAGAGTGAGGCACATGGTAAAATCTCACAGGGAAGTAAAGAGGAAGTTGGTAGCAATAAGGAGGTTAGGACCAAGATATCTGATGCTGGGAAGTCAAGTGATAAAATATAAGTTGATGCGTAAGGCTAAGGCTAAACCATGAATATGGAATACATTGCTGCTGTAAACTTTTGATTGTAAGTGATCATCAGTAAGTGAAAAACAAGTGCCAAAACGAGTACCAACATTAGTAAATAGCATGCCAATACCCTCAAATAGCTTTGACCATCGGCTATGTTATATAGACTACAGTTCGCCTACAGTTTTAAACCAGGGACTCTCACAGGATTTATATCTGATTCGATCCACCATGATTCAGCCAGAAAAAGCAGCATGCTCTCAGAAGGGAGTCTAGTTTAACGAAGGTTGGTTGGTTCATCCTCTAGAGCTGAATTCCAAACATTTTGAAAATGACGAGGCATGCCAAATAAAGAATGGTCAAAGCATATACATAGAACATAGCACGCTACATGGAAACCATAATGGCTATGCTGAAACCCTGAGCATAAATGCCTGCTTCCCACAGCTTCCACACTCCTCTGCCCAAGACTGTGGTTCTCTACAGTGGTCATTTATTGAATGGATACAAATGGTCAACAGAGTCATGGCGAGAGGAATACAGTATGCACATTGCATGTATTTTGTGTGTTTTATATTGTACATATATACACTTCTAAGTTTTTCAAGACAAAGGACGGCAAGATACAACGGTTGTTTTTCAATGTCATTGTCTTAGTCCTCCATATTCTATTTTTGAACTCATAGCTCTGCACTGTGTAGTTGTCAGTGGATCATGTTTAAAAATCTATTTTGTAGGAAAAATGAAAATAAAATAAAGATAAATTATTTTAAAATATATTATGAGCATGTGTTCAACGTAAATAACGTAAAGTCAAAACTGATTTTATATACTTGTATTTTTTACTCAGTTTATTTTCTTTAGGCTTGTATGGGGGTTTGGCTTCTTTGCGGTGGAGGCTTCAAGAGACATTGAATACTGTAAAGTCAGCATAATTGTTCTTATAGATAACTCTAACATTTGCCGTTCCTAAGCACAAAACAAATCCTAACAAATTTAGTAACTCAACAATTCTAGTATATAGTATATATTCTATATAGAACAACACATCTAAAGGCAATTCTAAAGGCTATTAAATTGATCATAATCAGCTGTTTTATGTAATTGACATTGCACAGTACTACACACGTATTTTTGTAGCATCCCGGTTTGTAGCGTGACCCATTTGTTTGAGGGGTTGGTGAGGGGTACAGTATATGGGTTCTGTCTATACCCAGTAACATAGCCATCTGTGCAGATAAACACACTGACCAAACACAAGGTGGTATTGTATTCCAATTTGGAAGTCGCTCTGGATAAGAGCGTCTGCTAAATGTATTGGTGTGAACTCATTCAACTTTTGGTATATTTTTATTTTATTATTTTATTTTTAGCAGACGCTCTTATCCAGAGCGACTTACAGTTAGTGAGTGCATACATTTTTTTCATACTGGCCCGCCGTGGGAAATGAACCCACAACCCTGGCGTTGCAAGCACCATGCTCTACCAACTGAGCTACACGGGGCCTGGTATACTCTGATGGTCTTGGAAAGGATCACAACAAATTATATTTAGAGGGTCACATTCACTGTGTACATTTGTGTTAGGATTTGTGTGTGCTTGCTAATAAACAAAACAAACATGTATTACCCTTTGTGATAATACTATACCAACAAAGCTTTGTCTATGTTCACTTATTCATGTCTCATGGGAACCTAAATTATTTTCCTCTACCTCATGTGTATAGCTTGTAGGTATAAACAGATCACGAATGACTGGTAAGAATGTATTTAAGTTATTGAACATCTTTGTATAACGAAGGCAAGAAAATCTGAAATAATAAATGAATTTTTAAATTATTTGAATGTTTGGTCTCATTCATACCCAGTGGTTATATAGCCATTGCTAATAGGAGCTTGGTCCAAGTCTAAGTAAGCAAACAGTAAAAGTTCTACACCACTAATAATCCATATTTCATTCTCCCCATAACTCAAAGCAACTTTTTTTATGTATTTGTTTTATTTTATTTAACCAGGCAAGTCAATTAAGAACAAATTCTGGCCTGGCAAGAGACAAAAGGCTTCCTGTGGGGAAAGAGGCTGGGATAAAAATCATTATAAGACTAAACAGACAATAAAGACACTGGCAACAGCACAAATACAACAGCAAACAAACAGTGGATGTGTGCGTGTGTGCAGGCATCTGCAGTGGTGTAAAGTACTTAAGTAGCTTTTTTGGGGTATCTGTACTTTACTATTTATATTTTTGACAACTTTTTCTTTTACTTCTCTACATTCCTAAACAGAATAATGTACTTTTTACTCCATACATTTTCCCTGACACCCAAAAGTACTCGTTACATTTTGAATGCTTAGCAGTACAGGAAAATGGTCTAATTCATGCACTTATCAAGAGAACATCCCTGGTCATCCCTACTGCCTCTGTTCTGGCAGACTCACTAAACACAAATGCTTTATTTGTAAATTATGTCTGAGTGTTTATGTGTGCCCCTGGCTATCAGTAAAAAAAACACACAAAAAAACAAATCATCTTGTTTGCTTAATATAAGGAATTTTAAATGATTTATAGTTTTACTTTTACTTTTGATACTTAATTATATTTAAAACCAAATACTTTTAGACTTTTACTCAAGTATTATTTTACTGGGTGACTTTCACTTTTACATGAGTCATTTTATTTTAAGGTATCATTACTTTTACTCAAGTATGACAATTGGGTACTTTTTACACCACTGGGCATGTGTGTGGTGTGTGTGAAGTAAAACAACGTTCTTCCTTACATAAGGCAATGCAACCTAGTGACATCAGGTGACAACTAGAAACAACTACATGTCTCAACAATCTGTTCATCTATTTGTCCTTTGAACTCCTCCAGGGACACCAGGTCCTGGAGTTGTATGTTAGCTTGGAGGGAATTCCAAGACCAGGGGGCTGAGTAAGGAAAAAAACTTTTTCCA